CACTGGTCTCTCTAAAACGATATCAGTATCATACATCCTGTCTTTCTCATTGATTCTATGGTAGCCTTTCTAAAAAATTTGACCCCCATGAACCATGTCTTCAGGAATTCATGCACTTGTATAGTCCCCTCCCACAATGTATCTAGGTTCATCTACTGACCTGACTCACTTTAACCCATAGAATCTGGTAAGGGCCATTCTGAGCCTTAAGAAGGCCTGGCTACCTTCACTGTTGCAGTTTTGAAAACTCGAGTTGTGATAAGAAGTCTAATAGCCAACTGGTGAGATCACATCCATAGAATTTGTGGAAGGGCCAAGTGAAGAAAAAGGTCTTGAACTATATGGACAGGGAAGAGTCATCCTGGTGTCCAAGTCAGCCTCTACAGGACTCCATCCTCTTCTCCAATGTGACCACAGCTTCATGGGACACTCCAAGTGAGGTCTGCAGAACTGCTCAGCTGATCATGATCACTTCACATGAGAGACAATAAAATGGTTTTTGTTTTAAAACACTCACTTTTTGGGTAGTTTGTTACAGAGTAATAGAGAACTAAATCAATAATACACTTCAGTCAAGCCTTCTTGTACATGTCTCTCTTTCCCAACTCTTTTTTTTTTTTTTTTTTTTGACAGGCAGAGTGGACAGTAAGAGAGAGAGAGACAGAGAGAAAGGTCTTCCTTTGCCGTTGGTTCACCCTCCAATGGCCGCCGCGGCCAGTGCGCTGCGGCCGGCGCATCACTCTGATCCAAAGCCAGGAGCCAGGTGCTTTTCCTGGTCTTCCATGGGGTGCGGGGCCCAACGACTTGGGCCATCCTCCACTGCACTCCCGGGCCATAGCAGAGAGCTGGCCTGGAAGAGGGGCAACTGGGGCAGAATCCGGCGCCCTGACCGGGACTAGAACCCGGTGTGCCGGCGCCGCAAGGCGGAGGATTAGCCTATTGAACCACGGCGCCGGCCTACCAACTCTTTCCTCATACAACTGGAGAATAGATAGGTGAGACACTATTGCATTGGTTCAAAGGCAGGCATTATACACCTGTCTTTGGCATTCTGCTGTCCTTACCCCCAAAGAACCACACAGACTGACTGTCCCATGGCCCTGATATAGCATATAAAGTCCATAAGCTGAGTATGTTTTTTTTTTTTTTACAGCTGATCTGAATTGACTTAAGATATGAGGATAAATGCTCTTAATTACAATCTGTTACGGACCTTTCCATACATCCATGATAAACAGCAGCTCAAACATATTTTAGGGGGAAAATAATGGAATCAAAAGATGCTGCACACATTTTCATTTAACATTAACACAATTTTTTTAATCTGATCCCCAATCCACTTTCTATAATGATGGTTACACTTTATGGCACATACTATATGCTGTATGTATGTGTGTGTATATATGTATGTGTGTATGCATGTGTGTGTATTCAGCACATACTATGTGCCATATATGTGTGTGTATGTTTGTATATATAGATATATATATGTGTGTGTGTATTCACAGTGATCCAACAATGACTTCCTTTTCTTTCTGAAACACACAAACCTCATTTCTGCCTCAGGTTCTTTGTATTAGCTAGCTCCTTGAATTGAATGGCTGTTAATGCTGGATCTTTTCCTGGCTGTCCCTCGCCCTCTTTAAGATTTTTATTTCTTTTTATTTGAAAGGCAGAATTACAAAGAGAGGGGGAGACAGAGATCCTTGGTCTGCTGGTTCACTCTCCAAATGGTCACAGAAGCCAGAAACTTCTGGATCTCCCATTTGGGAGACCAAGTACTTGGGCCATCCTTCACTGTTTTCCCCAAGTGCTTTAGCATGGAGCAAGATTGGAAGTGGAACAGCCAGAGAACAAACTAGTGCCCATGTAGGATGCCGGCATTACAGGCTGAGGCTTAACCCACTTGGCCACAATGCCTGCTGGTTTTCTTTATTCTAGGTCCACCCACAATTTCAACTGTTCCAAGTAGCCCTCCATAGCCACTGTATGTAAATTAAACTCTCCAGGTAGTCACTTCCTAGCACATTCCTCTTGTTTCTATTGTCACTGCATGCAGCACTGTCTGAAATTTTCTCATTGAGTATGCACTAGTATTGTGTCTCCTTCTTCTCACTGAGTGAGAACCATGGATCAGGTATGTCATCTATCTCATTTTCCATTATGCCCCCAGAGCCTAAAACAATGCCAAGTATTAACAAATCAATCAAGCAAGCAAAAAAGAAATTTGTCTTCATGGAAGGTCTCCTTTTTTTTCAGATGTGGAATTCAGGAATTAAAAAGGTTACATAATATTCTCAAGGTCTCTTTTGACCTAGAGTAGCTTGTATACTCTTTACCTTATTTTGCTGTCCCTGCTGGTGCTTCCATGTGGTTAGGTTAGCAGATGAACAACTCTAGCAAACATCTTAAAAGCAGGTCTAAAAAGACCAAAACAGGTAACTGGAGCAAAGTAAACAGCTGCTCTCCTCTGCCAGAATCTCTAAATAAACTCTAGGAACATTCCTCTGGTGTTCTTTCTCCCTATATTTTAAGAAGTAAGGGAGGTCTATAATGTTTACTTCAATTATTAAACATAATCAACTCAAACCAATAGGTTTTAATGATATATTGAACTTATTTAACCAAAACAACATGTTAACCAAAAATTAGTGTTGTACATTATTTTCTGAGGCTAGAAGTAGCAAAGTGCTAGAAAAGATTGACCAAGGCAGATGTTTACAAATAGATGACTATAAGAACCAGGCATGACTAAACTGTCCTATCTAAAGCTTTAATAGGAGAGTAAGGGCCATCTGTGTGAGCCAGAATAAGGAAACATCAGGAGTCAGAACTTACTTCTTTCTAATTCTGTATTAGGAAGAAAATGCCCACAACAAAGACTTAGAATAGCAGCTTTATCTCAGTGGTAAAGATCGAAGTGTTACGTTATGACATTTGACATTAGTAACATTTTCTAATAATTTTATTCTTTCTGATTTCACATTTCCCATACAAACTTCTGATTATGACTTGGCTCTCCTACAAGAACATTCCTGTATTTTGAACCACTATTCATAATTGTGTTGTTTTTTAAAAGGCAATGTCTTAAATGCCTGGTTAACATGAGTTTGTATAAGAGAGAATAATCGTTCTTATGTCTGTTGACAGATCTGGTCTCAGACAACTCAAGAACAGACTTTCAGACTTTTAACCTTGGAGGGGTGCACCCAAGTGGTTCCTGCATGATCTTTCCCTGAGATGACATCTTAGTCTGCTGACACCATTCAGAAAGACTGAGTTCTGTGACCACAATACAGATCTGGAACTGTATTTATGTGACAACCCACTAGCATCAGAGCAGAGAAGCTCAGAACATTAGAGGAAAGAGAAAAAAAAAAAAAAAAACTGTGTGTGAGAGAGTGTGTGTGTGTGTGTGTGTTGTGAAGGTGAATTTTTGTCTTCATTCATTTTTTTTTAAGACAGAGATCAAAGAGTTGGACTAAAAAGGAGGACTCTATGTTGTTAATATAGCCAAATTCTTAGAATAAATATAAGCAAAATAATTAGGGCATGTCAGTATATTTGATTCAGTGTTGTTATATAGGACAGTTGGGGGTAGATGAAAGAGCAATACATAAGGGTCAATTTTATGGGTTAATTTTTCATTGCTGTTATTTTTATTGATCTAAGTACTCTTTTGCTTTTCCAAGTGAATGTCTGTGATTTCTTTTAACAACTGTATCCACCCACTCTTGGTTTTGGCATTTCCTCTGGGCACAACCTAGTATAGTAATAACTGCAAACTTTTACACAGATGTTCAAAATATAGAATAACTGTGTATCATTAAGAAGCAGTAATACTTACCAAGGGTATACAAACACCTGTGATATACCAGAAATTAGATTTTCATTTTAATGCCCTTGGCCTCTTGGAAGAAATGTTCTAAAAACTTAAAAAAAAAAATCTGCATTAGTTCATTACTTTTTCATGCCCAGTAGTGCTGCAAATACAATACCTCATGTCTAAAACAGTGTGATTCTTTTTCTGGTTTTCTTGTCATGAGTCTGATCATCAGTAAAGAATGCTATTTTCAGTATCTATGTTTGTTCTTAAAAGAGTTTATAGACCCTCCTTCAAATTGCTTACTGAATAATACTTAGAAAAGCTTATATGAAAAATTTCTATATCTTTTTTGGGACTATTACCTGCTTAAATGGTCCAGCCTCTCACTTTTAATCTTCAAAAGACATTTGAAGCTATTACTTGTTCCCCCAGCCAACTCACAATTCCATTTACATATTTCCAAGCTGCAAGCTGAATATAGTATCATTACATGGGAAATACATATGTATATTTATATATATTTATATATCACATACATATGGGATATCAAAACAGCTATGTACCGTGTAACAACATTTCAGTCAACAATGGACCAAATATATACAATGGTGGTCCCATAAAATTATATCACCTATGGGTGTCAAAGCCATCTTTGTATAAATACCACATTTTGATAAGATTATCTAATGTTCTAATTCTTAGAACATATCCCTGTCATTAAGCAATGTATGTTGTATGTCGATAACAAATATTAACCAGCACATTGTTTTCATGAATGTGTTCTTCCTCACAAATTTTCCAATATTTCTACCCAAAGATCTATATTAACTAATAGTAAGGTACAGATAGGAACTCTTATAGAGTCAAGAATTTTCTTCATATATTAATTTGAGGTCATACTTAATAAAAGGCATATATTGCTATTAACTTGTCCTACTGCTCTTAATATTAGAAAATAAATGCAATTTTAGACTGAATCATGAAGAATAAAAATTATCCCCCCAAAAAAACTTTTTATATTTATCTTGTAATGGATATAGTATATGTTCATGCATTGAACCATAAAACACATTGTTAATTATTTTTAGAAAGATGCTCACAAAATATTATGTTGTATTTTGTTTTTAGGCTCTATTAGCATTAATTAAAATAAATTTGCATACGCAACTTATTCACATTGCTTTATTATTTTTGTTATTGTTGGTGATATTATTCAATTCACACACACAGAAAAGTATATCAAGTCATTATATCCTTGCATTTAACCAGTAAAAGTATAATCTTGAAAGAAGACATTTTACAAACTAGACAGGTACCCTGTTTATTTTCTCTGAAAGTTACACTCCATTAAAGCAAGTCCATTTTAGAATCTCTCCCAATATTATACAAAAATATTTTTGTGCAAGTAATAAATTTATCTTTAAACATCCAACATTTTGAAATTCAAATCAGTCACACCAAAAGTTATCATTGTTAATTTGTAATCTAAACATACAATACCTTGTGCTTATACAAACTGCTGTTATCATGTGCTCATATACTCTTTATATTGATCTGGCAAATATACTCTGCTACTAGGCATTAAATTATGTAGAAAGTATAATCAGTGCAGAACTTGCCTATTTCTGAAACATCCTCATCTGTATTTGCTTGTACATATATATTTTTTGGAAAAATTTAAGGCAAGTGCAATCAAAATTAGAAAAACCACTATTTCTATTGCTAACATATGCAGCATTCATATTTAGTGAGAGATCTCCTTCCCTCTTAAAAACCGAAGTACAAATGCTAAGTATGTTATACTTGCTCTAGTCAGCTATGTAGTCTTATCTTTAGAAATGTCAACACAAAAATAAACTTCTCCAATGCTATAGCAGCAGAAATCATCTCTTCTATCCCCTTCCTGTGACTTCTCACCCCGTGTCCAGTTTCTCATGAAGACACACAGCAAGTTATTCAGATGCCCGTTTTGAAGATGACTATGAATACAAGGTCACCTCGTGGTGCGGAATACTTAAGTTGCAGTACTCATAAGATCTCCAGTTGTAAATTTACTTAATTCTATTGTGTTTCTATTTCACTTCAGTGATGGCAGGGATTCTGTAAAGAGAAAACTAAAAAAAAATCTTATCAGTAACCGTATTTCTAAAGTTAGGCTTTGCTGAGAACATGCTATTTGCCAAGGACATAATTTAAATGGAATCTGAAAAATAAGTTATTTCACTGCCCTGGAAAAATAAAATTGACAAAAAGATAGGAAACCCATAGTAATAACTTTGGTGCTTTCACAGGCTTTTCTTATGATAGTTGCTGAGTGCAATCCTGCCCCCATTCTTTGTAAATAAATAATTCAGGGATACCATGTAATGGAAAGAGTAGCAAATGGAGACAATCACAGAATTTTTATGGGAAAAGTGAGAATGAGCTGACTCTCTCCTTTATGATAAAATGCATGTTCTTAAGGAAAAGTTAGTTGAAGAGAAACCTGGGTATTTATTTTTAGCCCATGCAAAAATGATTCACCAGGTAATTTCCTGGTTGAGTGCATTAACTTAGGAACTCATAGCTGTTTATTTAATGTAGCATACATCTTGATGAAGCTTATTTAAATGAAATGATAGTGTGTATTTTGAATTTCAGAGTGCACATACATTACACATGCATGCGAACATGTACACTAATTTAGCACTCTAAATGCTCCATGTTGTCGCAATTTGCAATTTTCCACTGTTGTCCAGAATAAGGCCTCAAAATAAATCAAGCTAAATTGGTATATGGTTTTTTCAGTTCAGGGTAGAAATATCAATGGCTATGTTGTACTCAGATTTGTTGATGAAGATTATTTTTTGGATGTTCTAGTGTTATAAAGTCCCAAATGGTTAAGAAGGCCTGTGGGAGTCATTAGGATATGACTGAAATCCTCAGAAACTTAAAACCAACTCTCAGAAACTCTTTGATGTGACTACTCCATGAAGAATGTATATGAATATTTCCTCTTAAATAGCAAGCTATATCCTTGAAATATGCATTTAGGCTAAGTGATTATCTTACACCAAATAATACATTCTTTCTATGAAACAGAATCTAACAACCTCAACACTGTTAGTCATTTCCAGTAAAACAAGAGGCATCGAGATCAAAATTAGCCCAGTGAGATTAATATGAAGCTGAAACTATATTGTCAGAAAAAGTGGTTGATGGATGAAATAGAGATCGCAGATACGGTCTAATTGGTGGGTAGGTAGTTTTTGTTGAAATCCTTCAGGATGATGCATTTAACTGATAGAATTAAACTTACTGGCATTATGAACAGAGTCTTATACTTTATGCCACTCACCAGAATAGCATACACCAATGTACAAGATCACAGTCATTTCCTGGGGTTCAGTTTTTGAAGAGAGTGAGCAATTCTTATACTAAAGAAACATCTTCATTAGAGTTAATCTTTTGATGAATTGATAGTTAATTTTAGGAAAATGATAATTGGGTTCACTTTAATTTATATATTAAACAAACACCACAGACAATGTCTTTGATATCTGTGTTGTGCTATTTTCCTTCTTTAACGAATAAAAATAACTGACAGCAGACCTGCAGTCCCTTAGAAGGAAGATGAGTTTTTATTTAACACTTAACTGTTACTTATTTTTTCTGCTAAATGATATGATTTTTGAAGCCATATATTTATCGCATGGCAAAACTGGACTGGACTTTCTTGACTAGTTCTTTTTATTCCTCCTTTCTTCTTGAGTTAATCAAGTACAAAATAAAATTTTGTATAGTTCAGGTTATTTTTTTTAATTGGGGATTTTTCATTGTGAGTCCTGATGTAACGATTTGGGAAGAATTGTTAGAAAACGAAGACCCAGTTTATGGTGACATTCATCTCTGCTGCCTTTAATTTTCCATCTCAAAGAATGAGAGTAGCAGAAATCACAGAAATAACACCTGTGTTTCTCAAAAAAGGAATCTGTGAGAGTCCACATTACAATGACCTGGGGAACTTGTTAAGTAAATAAATGTTGCCCCATACTCCAGTTCTATTGGGGTTCAGTCCAAATTTCCATTTTCAACAATGTTTCCAGGTAATGCTTTTGAAGTCTAAAATTTGAGATTCACTTGCTTTGTTTCTGTAGTTTTCAACGTGGAGAGCTTACTAGAAAAGTACTAACATTAGGGACAAACTCCAGACCAGTTAGTCTGGGACTAACTGGGACATTTGTCTGGGACTTTGGGACCTTCCCAAATGATTCTAAAGATACCCAAGACTTAGAACTATCATTAATGAATCCCATAGAAGAATGCAATGAAAGAACTTTTTCACTTTCTCCCCAAGTGTTTATGTCAGTGTTCAGCAAGCCAAAAATCATTATTTCTACTCATGCATTATAATATTTAGTAATCAATTTCCCATTATACTTTGGACAAGTATGTTGAGCAATGGTTCTTTGTTCAGCACAGACTTAGGGCACCTAAGAGATTTGCTTTCAGAGTCCAGTTTTCCTTTGAAGTTCATAATTGCCTAAACAATTCTTTATTACTTAGAACAATAGGAGAAGTGAGATGTTTCATTACTTAATTCAAGGCAGCTATTGATCTTCCGAATTGTATAGTTCTGTTTATTATTTATGTAGGCTTTTGGCATGTTCTTCTGCTACCTGTTTTTGTTTTTGTTTCTTTTTGTAAGGTTTCATCTTTTATTAGTGTATGTTTTGCCAGAGGTTAAAAAATTGACTTCCAGGCCGGCACCGCGGCTCACTTGGCTAATCCTCCGCCTGCGGCGCCGGCACACCGGGTTCTAGTCCCGGTCGGGGCACCAGATTCTGTCCTGGTTGCTCCTCTTCCAGTCCAGCTCTCTGCTGTGGCCAGGGGAGGCAGGCAGTGGCGGATGGCCCCAGTGCTTGGGCCCTGTACCTGCATGGGAAACCAGGAGGAAGCACCTGGCTCCTGGCTTCAGATCTGCGCAGAGCCCCGGCTGTAGCCGCCATTTGGGGGTGAACTAACGGAAGGAAGACCTTTCTCTCTGTCTCTCTCTCTCTCTGTGTCTAACTCTGCCTTTCAAAAAAAAATTGACTGCCCTAGCAGTTTTTCCATAAACCAGTTGTTCGCAAACTGTCTTGGTGACTTTTGCCCTATATTTCCTAGACTATTCTTTACCTATGTTTTCATTTAAGTCACATAAATGTATACCATGCTACCATTTAAGTATAACTACAAAAAGTAACTGTCAAGTTTTGGGTTTGATGTACTACATAAGGGTTTTTAAAAGTCCTGAAAAATGTAAATCAAATACCTCACAGTGTGAATAAAAAGCTTCCTTCTGTATGCCAGCTAAAACCAATTGACATATCACTGGGGATACAAATTTCTAATTTAGAGAAACAATTGGCTAAACTATTGACAATCACTATGTTCTTGTATCCCCCAGGGCCTTATTCTCCCTCCTACACACACATCAAGATTCTCCCACATTACTTTATCCTAGTGTTGCAAGCTTGTTTAAGAAATTTGTTTGAATTACTCTTGCAGGCCATAAAAATCCCATAGTGCTAAGTGATTGGGTCACCAACATAATAATTCTCTGAATGTTTGCCTCATTCTTTGTTTTGATTTTGCCAGTAAATATGAATCTGATATTAATTTGGAATCTTGTGGAAATAAGATGTTCCGTTAGTATCAGGCTTTAAACCACTTGTCAGTAACACGAGTTTAATTAAAAAATCCCGAGAATTGATGTGTCTGAAGTACACAAATAATCCCAAACATTCTTCAACTATAGAGTGCTCTCCTTATATTTTGAATAATAGGTAATTGTCTATGATTCACAATTTAAAATATAATGTGGAAGTTATAAATTAAGTCATGATCCTTATAACATTTTGCTTTTTCAATACACATTATTTTCTCACATTTAAATCCCACTGAGGTAGAAATGGATTTATGAAACATTAAATATGTTAACTACTTTGAAATCCAACCTAAAATAACCTTATGGGGTTTTGTGAATCTATTATTTTCAAAGTTCATAATGATTTGTATCTGTTTCATCTTTGATAAGTGTTTTTTAAAAGGCTATCTTCCTAAGATACAAATTCTGTTTAAATATCCCATTTATTCTAAGAGGGTTATGGTTGTTCAATTGATTTGCTTTGATGGAAAGATTTACCATCATTGTCCTCCCCCTCAAATAAATAATAAGGTTATTTATCTTCAAGCTAAAATGATAAGTAAGGCCAAAACATTTCCCTTTAGGAATGACTGTGCACTACAAGTAGATGCAAACAGGATAGAAAACAAGATGATTAAAGATCTTGGCCACTTTAAGTATTACTTATGGGGATTTTAAGGTCATTATGTGAGTAGTACCTTAAACAGAAAGGAATAAAATACCTGGGGAGCAAGAAGTAAGGAAAGTAAACAACAAAGAAGGACTCATGGGTCATCACTCTTCATTTCTGTTTCTCAAAGAATTTCATGAAATAGATGAAGGAAAAAATGCAGAATTTAACCTTGAAAAGGCCATTAATGTGATAATAACTTTTAAGTGATTGAGCTAGTGATTTAAACCTCTCCATAATCCAGTAGTGAAGAAAATGGGGATTGTAAATGGACTTGATTTTTTAGCAAGGGTTTTCTTTTCTTTCTCAGTCAACTGAACATTTCTTAAGACAATTTTTTTCACAACCACCATAGGAGTTTAGGTTTAAGGAATATAAGCTTATACAGATATAAACAGAGAGGGAAGAGAAAGTAGAACAAGAGTTATCAAATTAACAAACATACTTACATATGTTCCAACAACACATTATTAATTTATTTTTATCTATGATCAGGTAGAAACCAGAAGAAACACTTGTAGCTTAATAAATAATTTAATTTCTTGAATTTCTATGTAACATATAAATTTATTTTTACAGGATATATAGAGAGCATACTCATAGAGAGCAACAGACTTATGAAACGACTATAAAACACAAATTATAATTCGAGTTTAAAATGTCTCATTTTTACACTTGTATTTGTCTATTTTCCTATTGCTAGTTAAAGCAAAACAAAATATATAATTGTAAGTATTCTAAGAAAAAATGGAGCGCCTCCATCACCTACACATGAGTTACATACATTCTAGATTATACAAAATCAAAAAAGGTAGGCAAAACTAAAGGGAAACACTACGTAAAATGCACTTTTTACTGACTGTTGAACAGATCTGAGAGTGTCTGAGTTTAAAATATGACTTGAACACCAGCAGAGGAAAATGACTAAGTCCACTTTCCTATTTGGGTTCCCTTGAACTCTGAAAACATAAAAGGTTTTGCAATTCAATAGCAGATTATATGAACGTACCTCCACTACTCTGGTGGAAAGAATACACTAAGGATTCTATTTAACAGGAGCATATACTGCAAGGAATATGGACAATTGCCCATGTATCCTAACATTAAGATGTCTTCTTCTCAGTTGAGAATTAACCTAAAACACTCACATCTGATCTCCCCAAATTTAATCTCTTATTGACTAGTAAAGATAGATCCAAATTACTTTGCCACATATTCATGCACTATGTAATAATGTCATTTCACAGTAAATCTTTTTTTTAATGACACAGCATGCCCTTTGAAACGTAACAGTATCTGGATTATGAAGATTGAAATTTACACGACATCGATATTACATGAAATACTCTCAAGTTCATGTGCAGTTTTTCAGATTCAACTCATTTAGTAGTGGAGGGAACACAGTGTAATGAATTTTTTTAGAGTGATTGCCTTTGTTAGAAAGAAAATGCTTTTCAGACTTAAGGACCCTGGGGGATGCATCTATGAAAGTGATGAATGGTAGAAAAACAATAGTTCCTTACTTTACTTACATTAATGAAGAAATCAGAAATGTAAGTGTGTCAGTGGACTCTTAGGCTACTTGGAAGAGAGTTTACTGATGAGCAGAAGGAATTTAGAAATACATTATATTTGTGAAGTATAAGATATATATCTTACATGTTTGTAACAGGGAGATTTGTTATGGTCTGAGCCTGGGAAGAAGAAATTTTACTAAATAAGACTGGAGCTGAGTTCCTTCTTGTAAGTCTGGCATTTTCTGTGAATGTGACTGACGTTTGATGATGACAAGGCACATAAAATTAAGGTTAACAAATCATCTTCATCATCATCATCAGCTTACTCTAACTTGATTCCAATTTGGTTGGATCTTACAGCCTCTTGTGATAGTATCTCAACTTGTTTACACCATAAACTCAAGTTGCTATCAATCAAAAGTAAAAAGTAAAACTTTAATCACCATCTCACTTTATTCTCAAAACTCTTCATATTGTTCCAGAGTCATACCACAAGTCATAAAACTGGAAAATATATAATTGTTGGGACTCCAATATATAACTAACTTTCAATCTTTGGAAAACAAAACTAGAAAACAAAAGCATGTCAAATGACTATTCCTTCTCTCCCTTTACAGGAAAAAGTATTGGCTTGTTGTTAGAAATATGATTGAACACAGATCAAAAAGAAGTTTAATGAAATAAGGCATCGTTGCCAAATTGCATGGTTTCACAACACCCCCCCCCAACTATGTTCTGAGTGGGTGAAGAAATGAGTAAACTATCACAAGAATAATAGACAATTCTCCCTTATCTAGGCATAAATGATTTGTTATCATACCAAGTTTTCTTTACCATATACAAGGTCTCCCACAAAGTCAAGCCATTTTTAAAGAGGAATTCCCTCTGTTGGAACAGTAATCATCCCCCAAATTTTTGTGAATGAAGGTAAGGAGCAGTAGAGACAACAGTGCCTGCAAGATATATTGGTTTAGCTGAATATCAGTTTCTGGGAATATCCTCTAAATCCAAACATCAAAACCTTTTTTACATGATGGATGTCTTGCAACTCACACTCAGGAAGACAGCTTTACACACATTAAATAATGTTGTCTGGAATTTCAAAGGTTTCATTATTTCCTTTAATCCTTTTTAGAAATTCAAGATATCCTTAAAACCAAGTTTTAAGGCCTATTATTAAGGATTATCAAAATTTGAATATTGGTTAATGTCTTTGTGCAAATAACATTAAGTTGGAAGGATTCCTGGTACGTCAAGGAATAGCCTCTGCTTCCATTGACAATCTTCTCCTTTTAGGGAACCCAGTTGTCTCATCATCTCTTTGTCATAACCGTGTATATTGTTAGAAAAACTCATCTGCAATAGGAAATGTGTGTCTGGAGGTGGACTTTCTAGCCTATTTAATAATATTTTACCCTTTTAAATCAACTTTGTCCATAGTGAAATTAATGAACAACCAAATTCAGATCAGAGATAGTGAGGGGTTTTCCTCTTCCGTATCTATGTATTCTAGTTCTATTCAGTTCCTTCACTTGTACAATGCCAATGCTATCCTTTGAACTTCAGTAAGCTTTCTTCTGGGACTAATGGCATAAACTTAAACTAATAAGAAAAAGAAATTTAGTGTGAAATTTAGAAAATACTCCTTAGAAAAAGAACTAGGGTATGATTCCAGAATCAGAAAATACTTCACAAATGTACTCATAGAAATGGTGATCTCGATTTACATAAATGGTATCTAAAAAGTTAATCACTACTCTAGGATGAACAAAACTTACTTAAAGTTTAGGGATTGGCTCTCAGTTAATATCTGCTCTTATTATAAAATGCTAAATAATAATGAAATACAGAAGAAACCAGCATCTATATAAGATTAAGTCAATAAGGTCCAAATACATATACTATGAAAAAAGTAATCACAAAATAGTTGACTGTTTGAACAATCAGGTGTTAAGCTGTAGAAATATAGTAGGCTCAGGTCTCTTATCATGTCTTGGATTTGTTTCACAGAATTGAGCTCAATGTAAGTCAGCAGGCTACCCAAGATACAAATGTCTTTTCGGCCCATAGGAGATCTAAGGAATGGGGTACAAATTAAATAATCAAATATTTGAGCACCAGAATAAAGGGTAGGATGCTCATAAGCAGCAAGTCGAGGTTACATTAAAAACAAGATGGATTTTTAAATCTATAATGTGTCATTCAGAGCCCGAGCAGTGATTGATGAAAAACAGGCAGTACCAAACATCACACATACCCAAGTCTGGAAGTCCATTCTCTACCCCAGCTTGGCTAACATATTCATACATTCAACTGTGTTTCTACAACTAGAATATTCTTATCCCCCATAGCCCCCACCACAAAAAGAGAAGGATGAAACCTAGGCACTAGGGGAAATACATTTTTTTTCTCTTTTTATTGTAAGTTCTAACAGAACTTTTGTTAAACATAGAGCACGTGAACACATGACAGTTTCCTTCATTTGTTCTCACATGGAGCTGATAGAGGAATACTTGGGAGGAATGTTTCTAAAGCCATAGATAGCTTCTTTTGCATTTATTTCATTTTTAAAAATATGACAAAGCATTAGAGGAAAAAAAGTTTCTTAAGTTGTGAGAATATCAAATATTACCCATCAATCCCTGAATCATGCTATTCAAAGTGCTTAAATCTACACTAAAAATAGAACAAAAATGTACTCCCAATGCAGCTAAATTAACACCTATGGATGCCTAAAACATGACTGTGGTCTGATTACTTCCTCTACATTTATTCCACACTTCCATCGTGCATGTGAAAAAAGAAAAAGGAAAGAAAAACCACAAAGAAATAAACCAGGCCATTGCCACATTTACAGTTTTGTGAGCACTGGGGGAGTTTGGTCATCCAGTCCAATGAGGTTCACTGCCACCAGTCCCTGACAGGTGTCCATAGTACAAAGTAAACAATGGCCTTCTCGGATTCTGAAAATAACACAATGTGCAAAGCTGACCTTAAAGTTTTATGTGTCCTTGCAGCTTCAGTTCTGATTTGTGAAAATGTGACACAGATCCAAGGGGAGCAGAGAAATAAAGACAGTATAGGGAAGGACCCAGTCGAGTTGTCAGGGAAATAAACATTTTTTAAACAAATAAAAATCAGTGCATATCCCAAGGCTCCTTTACCTTGTCACACAGATACTGCCACCTTTGCATCCTTACCAAATGCTTATACTCATCTCTCATACATTTGCAGTTCAATCCTCCCAAAGGAACTCTAGTGCAGTTTATAGCTTGCTTGCTTGCTTTTCTTTTTTCCTCTTAGTGGCCAACTCACACCTTAGTACTGTGACCAAAGCTATAGATTGTTTTCTCATTATAGAGTGATAGGAATAAACCAAACATACAGTAGTCACTATACAAGCCCACAGACAATGACTGGGATGGAAGTTCCTACGATGAATGTCTGAAGTACTGTTTTAAGTTCTACTATCAATGTTTTTATCACATTGACTTTTTTAAAAACTAAAAGCTATGTAGGTAATATTTCCTTTTAACAACTCTGCCCTCTGCAGTTTCCTTTGTGATTGACTTTGCATCACCCTTAATATGAATATGAATTAACTGCTTATGTAATTGACTTCAAACATAAAGCTAAATGCTAAGGGTTGAATTTCCCGGGAGCATCAGCTTTCTGTTTCTTGAAGATTGAATCATATAGTTAAAATAAAATGAATTTTTTATACAGTAAAAGTATTTTAAACACTTTCAGATCTAATTTAAAAACTATTTTGTATAAATGATGTTTATTTTGAAAATATTGATATCTGTTGATATTCATATGTTTGACCTCCTGAGTTCTTAAACACCTCGATATTAATAAGTGTTGCTTATGTTCACAAACTGAAACCAAACGCTTAATTCTGAATGTAGCCTTGAAAATTAAATGCAAGTGAGTTAACATTTAAATACAACAGGACCCCACAAGAAGTTTCACAGATCTTCTCTGACTCTTTAGAAAATAACAATTCATATAATACAAGGTGACAAAACATATTTGATGACACATCCTGTCCTTCCCTTTGGTTCGGAAGCCTCCAATGCAAATTTCATTTTGACTTGCGTTGATTCACCCTTTTGAGTTAACTTGCCTGGCATTTGCACATAATCTCATTTGCAGAAAAAATATAGAGGGAAAAGAGGAAGTAGAATATTAAACAAAAACAGCCACAAACACATTCATGCCTTTCCAGGAAGTGATCAAATATAGGGCTTGATTTTTTTTTTGTTTTTTGTTTTTTTGCTTTTTTGTGGTTTTTTTGTCTGTTTTGTTTTGTTGTTTTTATATATATTTATATATATATTTATATATATAAGGGTACATCAACTCATTTAAAAAACGGAAACAACACTCTCCCCCATTTTCGTGCCCTTGATCTTCTCTTCTTAGCACTCTGTAGTGGTCACTGTCAAGTGACTAGCACACCTTTGGGTCTAGAGTGTATTCTGAAGAGCAGTGAATTGACTATGTTAAGACAGTTAGGCCCACCCCCACCCCTCTGCAGTTTACACATCATGCCGCCATTAGAAGGGTAGAGGTGGGGAATGAGGCGGGACAAGGAAGAGATTCAGGGCTCTGACTGGCGGGGCCCTCCTATGCACAAGTGTTCTTCTCTCTCTTTTTAATTTTTCTCTCAAGTGGCAATGCTGGCGTGTGTCGCACTGCTCTCTGAAGGCCGATGTGGCCCAGCTGATCCTAGGCAGAACCCGAGTGAGGATCCGGTGCTCCTTGTCCCATCGGATAGATTTGTCCAAGCACCCCAAGGAAATGTTAAGAGCAAAATAAAATTTACAAAAAGGAAATTAAAACCCATTCTAAAACTAAAGTAATGAAGCAAAAAAGGTTTTTCTATCTATACTTCAGTCTCTTCTTTAAAAAAAATGTAAATTTACAAATTCCAATGACATATAAAACAAAGTCAAAAAATGTAATGGAAAGAGACATGGTAAAACAGGAAGACACTGATGCTACAAAGAAATTCCATAAAACATATGTACAAGACCCTGTTTTTCCTCGTGTTCTAGAGATTGTAATGCATGTTTTTAACAGCAGCAGTCGAGGATTTAGTTCCAGGCACTGGGCTGCAGATTCCATTCAAGCTCCCAGGGACGGGACGTCCCTTGCTTTTCTGTCACCAAATCACACTGGATATACTGGTCTCCCGTGGCAACAGCGGCAGGATGGCACTGTTTGTGTGGGCCTCATCTGGATTCTGCTCCCTGCTGGATTTTGTCTGAGGCCGCTGCCCGTTGATGAGTGTCATAGGGATGTTACAGTAGGTATGCTGATTTCCTATGGAGGTAAGAGGCAGGGTGCCGGTAGGAGGTACGTCGTACTCATAGCTTCGGTAGTAGTGTTTCTGCCGCATCTGTGAATGGTACGTGTTGTGAAAGGTAGAACGGAGATCTGGATGGGCAGTGGCTAGAGCTGTGGAGGTGGCCGCGGCCATGGAAATGGCCGAGACAGTCTGCAGCTCCCCAAAAGGCCCCTGCTCACTGACATCTAAAGCCTGCTCATGTGTAATGGGTTCTATCCTCTTAAAAGGCATTTCATACTGTAAACGTTTCCAGAACTTAGAGTTCAACTTGTTGCATTTTGGTCCATGCCATTTAATAACCGTCAGGAGCTTGATGGTGTGCTTGAGGGCCTCTACCTCCTGGTAGTTCATGATTCCTCGTAGTTCACTGCATTCAATTAGGATCACTTTAATTTCTCCAGTCACAAGCATGTTTCGAAGTCTGGTCTCCAGTTCAAAGATGCTCCAGCCCCTTCTAACTACATAATTTGGAGTCATGACAATAATCAGCCGTTTGCTCTGGTCTACACATCTTGCCACATCTTCAATGTATGCTACAAGAGAGAAAAAGAATAGATGAAACATTTGGTCCAGAAAGCCTCAGTAGATTCTCTTCCACACATTAAATTGTGGTTTGCTGGGTGAAACCTTGAGAAGGCAAAACTAGCCAATGACCACTTGAACACAGTGGGCTTTGCCTCTCCTAATGTTAGAAATATTTTTCCCAGGGATACAACTCTCACTAGGATTCATTAAATGTGAAGGCTCAAAAAATGACAGTGTTTTATCGAATAATGGAAATCTCTGAGATTTCAAAAATTAAATTTCTTTTTTGAAATTATTTATTTCATTTTATTTGAAATGCTGAGAGACAGAGAAAGACAGACACAAATGTTCCATCTGCTGGTTCATTCCCCAAATATTTGTAACAGCCAGGACTGGGCCAAGCTGAAATCAGGAAGCTGGAACTCAGTCTGGGTCTCCCACGTGGGCAGCAGGGACCCAAGTACTTGAGCCATCACCTGCTGTCTCCCAGGGTCTGCATTAGCAGGAAGCAGGAGTTGGGAGCACAGCCAAGACTCAAACTCAGGTACTCGGATATGGCAGGTGAGTATTCCTAGTGGCTTCTTAAACCACTGTGCCAAATGCCTGCCTCCCCAAATTAAATTGGAATACACAAAGACATTCCTTTCTGGAGAAACAAGCACAGACAACTTTTGAAGTAAAGAACAAAACAAAAATTGTGTAATTTATGATCGCTACACGGACATGTACACTCTCAAATTAAAACATTAACTTACTTCCAGTTGGAATTAAATCTCTATCTGGTATAAACAACTTATATCCATAATGCTTTTCAAGCATGTCAGGTAAGATTTCAAGGGCAAACCGTTCTTCTTCCCCAGTTTCTTGATTCCACTGGTCAGGATCCACTTTGGTGTATGATAAGTATGCATCATAATCTTTATTATCTGTCAAAAACATTAACATTGAAGTCACTACTCTACAAAGTAAACAGTAGCACAGGCAAGCATTCATGTCTTTTTTTTTTTCCATAAACATCTAACATCTCCACATGTACCATTTCTGGGAAACCAAAAAAAAAAAAAATAAAAAATGAGGTCATTACTAATTTTCATGAAGAGTTCAATAATGCCAAATATCCCAGAATGAGTTTGGAGGTATAAAGGGACATTTTAATTTTTGTGTTTTTTTTTTTCTTTGTGAAAACTAGGGGGAAAAATCATTGAAAAGAGTGATGAAATGCTAACTTCCATGCTTTTGATGCTCACATCCTTGGGAAACATAACTGCTTATGAAAGCCACATATTTGGATCATAGTGTGATCTTATTCTAAATATTGCATTCACCTAATTCAGCCTTTGACCATTTTACCCTGTTGGAAAGAAAAAACTGCACTTGGCTTGACTGTGGAAGAATGACTTTTGGGATTGAGTGTGTAAGGCTGATTTTCTTTTGGGGAGAGAATAAAGGCAAATTTGGAATAATTGTTTACTGAAAGACAGGTCTTGGATATTGGGACTGAGAATATTAATAAACTAAATGATTATAGAAAACATTGTTTTACTAGTTTCCATTCATTTTATACATTAAGTATTGCCAAATTGATTTTTGCCATAGTAACTAGTTTGGTCTTGGATATCAAAAAGTACAATGTACATGAAAGAGACTTAGTATTAAAACTTGATTTCTTTCCTCAGTCTTTCCCCTTTTTATATAAGGATCTTCAAATGTTTGAGGACTACTACCACATGTTCTTAATTTTTCTAACACAGCATTCCAAATTCTTCGTTTGTTCTTTTTCTAAGGATAGGAAATCATTTATCCTGCAGATAATCTCTCATTTGTCAATTTCCTTTTTAGAAAATGATATTAGAATTCTTAGCTCACCTCAATTCTAAATATTAGCAATGTGCTGGGGCCAGTGTTGTGGCACAGTGGTTAAGCTGCCACCTGTGACACCAGCATCCCATATGGATGTCTATTCATGTCCAGGCTGCTCTACATTCTGATCCAACTCCCTGCTAATGGCCTGGGAAAAGCAGCAGAAGATGGTACAAGTGTTTGGCTCCTGCAACCCACATGGGAGATCTGCATGAAGTTCCTGGCTTCTGGCTTTGGCCTAGCCCAGCCCTGGCGGTTACAGCCTTCTGGGGTGTGAACCAGTGGGTGGAGAATATCTCTCTCTCTCTCCCTCTCTGGGTGGAGAATCAATCTTTCTCTCTCTCTCTCTCTCTCTCTTTCTCCTTCTCTCTCTTTGACTCTTTCAAAATAAATAAAAAAATTTTTTAAAAATAGAAATTAGATACTATCAATATGCTGAGCCTAACTGTATCAATAGCCTTCATTCTCCATTCTGCTTTCCTGGTAATCATCAGTATATTTCTTAGTTGTTAGATCAAGTTGAATTGAAATGCAATTTTAGAATAAAATGAATTCTGTTTTAGACATTTAATTTAAAATCTTTTGAGGTAAAAAACATCAAAGGTAAATGGACTTCCCTGACTGTTGCTTTGGATGCTTTGAGATACTCCTTTTGACTGTAGAAACAAAATTAAACTCACTTCCTGAAATTCATATCATCTCTGTGTATTAGTTCTAGTAATCTGATGATCTTGAGCTGTCTACAAGTCATTCGATCACTGTAACTTCTCATGGCAAACACAGAAAACTCTTTATTGTACCTAAAGTTAACACAGGTATATAAGAAGCTAACAACTCCACTACAGGGTCCATAAAAAATGTAATACTGTCTTTTGCAACAAAATGGTTGCAACTGGAGACCATTATGTTTAGTGAAATAAGACAGTCCCAAAAAGACAAATATCACATGTTTTCTCTGAAATGTGGTAGTTAATATAGAATAGGAAAAAAAAAGTATAACAATGACACTGACGTCTTATGATTTGATTATTGTTTTTAGCCCTTGTCTATACACCTGTCTTTCTACATTTTATTTGTTGAACATTATGGTTAGTGGTGTGTTAAACTTGTGATTATAAAGTAAATTGAAATTATGTGGGGCCAGCGTCATGGCGCAGTAGGTTAATCCTCTGCCTGTGGCACTGGCATCCCATATGGGTGCCAGTTATAGTCCCAGCTGCTCCTCTTCACAGCTCTCTGCTGTGGCCTGGGAAAGCAGTAGAAGATGGCCCAAGTCCTTGGGCCCCTGTACCCAAATGGGAGACTGGGAGGAAGCACCTGGCTCCTGGCTTCGGATCGTTGCAGCTCCGGCCTTTGTGGCCATTTGGGGAGTGAACCAACGGATGGAAGACATTTCTCTTTGCTTCTCCCTCTCACTGTCTGTAACTCTGCCTCTCAAATAAATAAACACAATCTTAAAAAAAAAGAAATTATGTTACTGCAAAAATTAAAGGAAAAGAAAAGGAAGGAAAGAGGATGGTTGACAGAGGGATACAAGGATGGTTATCTTCTTAGAATTCTATATATGAAATACATGAAATCTATTCTTTATATATTAATAAATTTTTTCAAAAAGATTTATTTACTTATTTAAAAGGCAGAGTTACAGAAAGAAGGGGAGAGACAGAGAAAGAAAGAGAAATCTTGCATTTGCTGGTTCACTTGCTAAATGCCCACAAAAGCCAGAGCTGAGCCAGGCTGAAGCCATGAGCCAGGAGTTTCATCCAGGTCTCTCACATGGGTGGCAGGGACCTAAACATTTGGGTCATCTTCTGCTGCTTTTCTCAAGCCATTAGCAGGAAGCTGGATTGGAAGTAGAGCAACCTGTCATGAACCAGCTGCCATGCGCAATGGCTATCACCTTTGCTTACATAAACAATGTCTGCTTCTGCTTTCCCCACCTCTTCCCTGTACAGCTCTCTTCCAACCAATAGCCACTGTAATTCTGCAAGATATTTTTGAGTTCATTTCATTCTTTCAGTCTGCTTTTCCTTAAAAACATCCTTACTGCCCATAACATCAACAATCACTTATGTCTAGATGCCTCCTCAATTTAGATGTCCAAGTCTCCTCTTTCTCCTGAATAATGAATGATCTCCCACTCCTACCTGTAATCTGGCATGCTTCATTTGGGTGTTCAGCACGTGTCTCATACTTAACATCACCTTTTATTTTGTTTTAATTTTAATAAAATAAGAATTTCTCCTCTTTAGTGTCCGCACATCAGATGCATATTCTATATATTACGTTTCTTTACCAATGATTTCATAGCAATTCATTACTAAAAATCTTCGAAGTCTATTTCCACCCTAGGTCAGGCCCTATTCATTTTTCAGCTGTTGCAGTTATATTTTACCTGATCTTCTCATTCCATTAACTTCTTCTGGAGAAGAGTCACCAAATTTACTTTTCAAACGCTCGCCACTGATGATGCTTTATGGTAGCTCAAAAAATATCTATGACTACCCATTGTGTATATATAAAAAGCAGCTCAGTAGTTTGTTTTCTTTGAAGTTGAGACTGATTTCTCTGAGTTCAGGGTGATTGCTTTCCCATATATATTACAGTGTTATAATATATATAATATATTACATATATTATATTACCTTCTCTTTTAGACTATAAGATGCTTGCTTCAGATTTGTGACTACAGTTTAGTAGATTCTCAAAGATTTGCTGACAAAATGAATAAATGTCTTTTCATTTTAGCATCATGTGACTCACACTATATAGCTATTTCTGGGGACTTTCTCAAGACCCAGGGCTTTGGAGATGCAGAATTCATGCTGCACAGATTTATGTATGAGCTTCATGTGACTGGTGAATCTTTGAAAAGGTTGACATTTTTGTAACCATAGAAAAATAAAATTATTCTAATATTTTAAAAAGAAATGTGATCATTTAAATTCAACTTTGGTTTATAAACAGCTTAAAAGTAATCATAGGATGATATCAGAGTCTATTTCCTTTTTTTTTTTTTTACAGGCAGAGTGGACAGTGAGAGAGAGAGAGAGAGAGAGAGAGAAAGGTCTTCCTTTTGCCGTTGCTGCGGCCGGTGCACCGCGCTGATCCGAAGGCAGGAGCCAGGTGCTTCTCCTGGTCTCCCATGTGGGTGCAGGGCCCAAGCACTTGGGCCATCCTCCACTGCACTCCCGGGCCACAGCAGAGAGCTGGCCTGGAAGAGGGGCAACCGGGACAGAATCCGGTGCCCCGACCGGGACTAGAACCCGGTGTGCCGGTGCCGCTAGGCAGAGGATTAGCCTATTGAGCCGCGGAGCCAGCCCAGAGTCTATTTCTTAATATGAGCTTTACTTTTTAAATTTTACTGTCTGTAATTTAAGTCATCAACTATAATTCTGTTCACTGTAGAAATGGAAAAAAGCTGGCATATACACTCTTTGTAATAATTCTTCATAATGTAAAATATAGTCATCAAGTTTCACTTTCTGTGAATTTCAAGATATTCTGGCTAAGATGCATCCCCTTCCCCCACCCCCCCCCAAAAAAATCTAAGATCCAGTCAATTAGTTGCTTGTTTCATTATCTGAAATCAAATAACAGTTCTAGTAGACTTTTCTCCTTAAATTGACTCAGTTAACTAGTAGATTTGATGTTCTATAAATGATATTTTTGAGAAGACAAAAGGAAGTTTGCAATTGGTAGAATTAAGAAATAAAAACATAAATTTAAAACATTATTGGGGCTGACTTTGTGGCTTAGCGGGTTAAGTTACAACCTGCAGTGCCTGCATCCCATATAGGCTCAGGTTTGAGTCCCAGCTGCTCCACTTCCCATTCAACTCTCTGCTAATATGCCTGCTAACACAGCAGAAGATGGCCCAATTCCTTGGGCCCCTGCACCCATGTGTGAGACCTGGAAGAAGCTCTTGGCTCCTGGCTTCAGATTGGCCCAGCTATGGACAATGCAGCCATATGGGGAGTGAACCAGCAGATGAAAGACATTTCTCTTTGTCTCTTCTCTCCTCTCTCTCTCTCTCTCTCTCTCTCTCACTCTCTCTCTCTTTAGC